CTGCATCTCAGCCCGTCTGCAAGCGGCTGCACCGGTGCTGGGGGCTGGGCAGAGCGGGGACCCCCGGCCAGGCAGTGGGGAGGGAAGGGGGTGGCAGCACATCCCGTACCCAGCCCTGGCTGCTCCCCCCTCCCCAAGCCTTTGCCTTTCCCGTGAGGTGACACTGGTGCCCGGTCTGTCCGTAATCTCGATAATCTGCCCCTGTGGGAACCGAGCACCTCAGCAATAAATAACAACCACGAAACCAAGACGCCCGCGAGCTTTGGCAGCGCTGGCCACGCACACAAGGCAGAAATCCAGGAGGGGAGCTCAAAGCTGGGGGGAAACCTCGGGGATTAGCACCAGGGTGGTCTTGGGCACAGCTGGGACAGTCCCTGCGCCCGTGGGGACAGGCACCTCTGGGCCACAGCCCGACCCAGCTAGAAGGCTCCTGTTTCTGCTCTGGGGAGATGGACACCATCGAAGATTCGGTGAGGGAAGAGGGGATGGTTCTTGGGGCAGGTCCCCAGGCACACGCCTGCCCCAGCTCCCCCAGCCCCATGTGCCAGCGCAGGGCTCGGCAGCGGCTCCTGCCCCACAAGGATAATTCTGTCCTCTCCTCCTCCTCCTCCTCCTCTCTCACCACGCTCTGCTGAGTCAGTGCCTCTCTTAAGAGGATTTATTCAGATCCTTTTAAACACCGTGGGGATCTCCCCCACCCTCCATCCCCCACGCCAAATGGCGGGACACGGTACAACATGTGGCAAACCCACTGCTCAGCAGATGGGGAAATCGCCTGCAAGCAACCAGCCGGGTAGCAGCGGGAGGTGACCGCACACTGGGGCACAGGGGCTCCAGGACAAGTCCCCCTGCGTAGCACGCTGCTACCCAGGGGCCAGAGCCAGCCGCTGCTCTCCCTGCAAGCCACCTCTCATGAGCACCAAAAACCCCTGAGCAATGGCAACAGCGCGGGGCTCGCCGGGGAAGAAGCTGCCGTGGGGCGACCCAGGACGGAGCCCCAGGAGTGCCCACTGCTCCCTGCGAAACGTCTCCCTCCCAGACCGCTCGCCGTGAGCGTGCCAACAGCCGTACCCAGGGCCCCGGCTTCAGGCGACGCCGCGCATCTCGAGAGACGCTGAGCAGAAGACACCTCTTCGACCACCAGCCTTGATCGTCACCACCACAGCAGCGGCCACTGCGCTGTTATCACACCCTGCTCAGCTCAAGTACTCGTTGTTAGCAAGGAATTAAGGCAGGGAACCACAGCCAGCTCGGAGAGTAGGGGGAAATCTTTAAAAAGCCTCTCATTCAGGGTTGTACTGAATGAGCGCAGAGAAGGCCTCTGGGCAGGGTCACTGGCCTTCTTTCTCTCTCTGTGCTGATCCTGCTCCTCTCACTTCATGCCAGACTGTCAAGAGGTTTGGTTTGCTGAAACTCGAGCAGTTGGGAGGCTCCTCACTTCGGCTGCGCTGTGAACATCAGAAGTCTTTCCTGGGGTGCACCGGCTTCCAGACCAACCCTGGCAGCACCCACACAAGGTGGTGGACAGACAGACATCCTTCTGGATGCCTGCGTCAGTCCCCCTCTTGTTCTTTGCTCTGGGATAAATTATAGCATAAATTTAGATTCAACTCCAAACAGGTCTGAATTTCAAGAATGGAAAAGGCACCCACCAGCACAGCGTGCTCTGTGCCTTCCTAGACAGCGTGACATGAAAACACATCTCCCTCCTGCGCTGATAAATCCCCCGGGCTGGTGATGCTGGCTGCGGGGGGTAGTGCAGCTCCGAGCCCGGCTTCCCTCCAGCTCAGCCAGCCCTGAGCCCCAGCGGTTGGCAGCACCCCCTGCTCCCCTGCAGCCCCACGTCACGCCCGCACTGGGACCCCCCAGAGTGGCCACCCATGACATTGGCCCAGCTGCAGGGAAGACAAAGCCCTTTAAACACATCAGCGAGGGGAAGGTGAGCTTGATACACAGCCCCCATCACCTCGCCATCTGTCCACCAAAACCTCACAGGAACGAGGTGCTCCTATGCCAGGTGAGTCACCCCCAACCCCACAAGCAGAGATGCCTTAGCTGGGAACTGGGGAGACTGGCATGACCTCGGGAGAGAGCTGCCAGCACTGCTAAAGCCTTGTGTCCACTCCAGATCAGCCACCTACAGTGATGGTACCTAACTGCGCCCAAGTCAGCCAAGTTGTCTTCCTTCCACCTATAGATGCTGTTTCCAACAAAAAGAAAGAAAAGCTGTGGGAACTCTTCCCAGTTTCTCCACAGAGACCACCAAATCCTGGTGCCCACAGCTATGTGCCATCCTCCAGCAGCAACAGCAGGAGATGCCTCTTCAGCGCGCCAGCCCACTGCCCATAGGGCAGCGATGGAGAAGGGGGATCGCTACCAGCGCTGCTTCACATCACCCAACCTGCAGATCAGCCCACCTGCGGATCTTCCAGTTGTGCTGACTCTGGGCTGGAGGGAAGCTCTGGGTCCAGAGGAGCAGACCCCTGTACAGTCTAACTCGGAAAAGAGATTTGGCTGGGCAGTTGTAAACCCCAGACACAAATATCTGAAAAATCAGATGCTTGTTGAGATGCAATGAAATTAATAATGAAACCAAATCGTATGGGAGGACAAAATGTCCCAACCCCTGAATCATTGGCAGCTGCTGTGCAACTACAGTGGAAAGTATTGCCGTAACCGTGCAGGGGTTTCCACTCTGTATTTCGTGTCACGTGCAGAGGGTACACCCAATTTTCACGCGCGTAGAAGCAAATTTCATTTCCTTCCCATATTCAAGACTGTCAGATTCATTCACTTTTTGTCTTGCTGACTTGTGCGATATCCCCCAAAGTTCCCCCTCTGCAAACCACACACGAAGTACGCAGCTTCCCAGCGGTCTTCAGCCAGGCTCATGCCAAGAGCCAGGCGAGCTGCTACACTGGTACATTCTAAAATTTGGCTATTTATATTCTGCGTGAGCTTCCTCTTTCCTACCGCTGCTCCTCCAAGATGCTGATTGTGCATTCCGCACATGCTGGTTAAAAACCGACGAAGCAAAAAGCAGCAGCAGGATGGAGCCAGTGAAGCCCCGCTCCACCGCCTGCCCCAAACACACATTTCTCCCTTTGCAGATGCGGAGACACGGGGTGGGAGTGGGGTTGGGAGGGACACAAAACCTTCACCTGTGGCTTAGGTACGTGCCGGCCACCCAGAAGGCTGCAATCCTAACTCTGGCTCTCACACCAGGATCTCCAGCAAGTCAACCAAAGATGAATGTCTTCAAAATGGTCTCCAAAGAGCTCTGACAAACCAGTGCTGGTAAATATTACTGCAACAGCTACTGCTCCCTGTTGCCTGCCCAACACATCTGCTGGAGTTTTAGCAGAAAGGAAGGTGTGTTGGGCCTCAGCCAGCACAACCGCAGCCCAGCACCCACGTGCAAACCCTCCTTCATCAGTGGTTCAACCCGAGTAGCCGAGCACCGCGCCGTGGCAGAGATACAGGTGAGCAGTCCCTTCCGCTTACTGCATCGCGCTGGGAGAAGAGGTGCATCCAACAGGCCCAGGCAGCGCTTTAAACGGCCGCAACAAGGTTCAGCGAAGCTCTTCTGTGACAGCACTGACTCTGAGCACGTTGATGGTTACGGCATTTGCACCTTCCACCAAACTCATACGGAAGGGACTCAGCACCCTAGAAAGGGAGATCCAACACATTTTGTGGTGGGTACCAAACAAAGGAAGGCAAAGAAAATGAACATTTGACCATGGTTTCTCCAGCTCAGTGTGCAACCCTGCTCCTCTCCATACAGCAGGAAAAAGGCCTCTCGCTGGAGGGGCGCAAGGAAAACCACATGTTTAACTTCGGGGTATCAGAAGCCCAGTTCTGCAGAGTCGGAGGCTTTTGCAAAAGCAGCCGCAAGTGAACTCTGCAGGAGTTCATCCCCTGAAATATGAAACTGGAGGGCTGCACCAGATGGCTTGCCCGGTTTTAGAGACCGCCTCTTCCAACTGCAGATAGCCCCGGGCTGCGTGAGCAAGAGCTCCCCACCAGAGTTCAAAGCGTTGGTGACTACACTGGGGAGGAATTCCTGCTCCATGCAATAAACTCTTCTACTCTCTGGTGAATGTTCTAGTACACGGCGCGGTGTCGAGCCCCACGTCTCCACACGGAGCTTTAATAACGAGCTCTAAGACGTAGCCAAGGTTCACGAGCCTGGAGGAAGGGCTGCAGTGTGAGGGACCCTCGCGGGAGCCAGGCAGAGCGCGGCAGGGAATCCGCCTTCGTCTCTTCTCGCCGGCTGAAGGGAGGGGAAAACGCGAAAGCCAAACAGCAAAGCAAAATATTGGCCAGGGATCTGCCTTTTAGAAAGTGTTTGAGATCAGTCACAAAGGTGGTTTCAGTAAGACAGGAGCAAAGTACAGGATTAAGTGTGAGCATGACACCATCCCTGCGCGTTACACACAGACAATTATCCAACAATTACCAGGTCTTAAGAGCTCTGGTCCCACGTGCCCCTGGGTTAGCGCACTGGCCTCCAAAGACACAAAATAATGAACTGTTATTGGAAAAAAGTATTAATTTCAGCACATGTGGAAGAGGCAAAACTGGTTAAAGTGCTTTTACTGATGCTCCCTGGACAACAGCTGGTTTAAAGATCAAGATGTTCCTGTGACTCTGTTCCCTTTCAGCCGGGCTACACAAAATGCCTGTTCTACAGACAGGGATAACACAGCACCCAGAGTATCTCTGCACCATGATTTCACAGGGCCGCTGCTACCAGCCTCAAGAGAGAAGCAGATGCTAACCCTGCCCATGGGAAGCCAGGAACCTGTGCCTGTCGGGAA